CAGACACACACACACACACAAACACACCATGGGATGGGGTGGGGGTAGGGGCTCACAAAGCCTTACACAGGGCAGGGGGTTGGTGGGAGGGTTGGCACATGCACACTTCATCTGCTCACTGCCCACCTCTAATCTGACCTGCAGCCCAGCTGGTCCTCTGTCTCTAAAGCTGAATGTCAAACAGTGCCAAATGCTGGGACAGGGGGTTCACCTCTGTCCCACCCTAGCCACCAGTGTCCTGGAAATGTCCCTCACCCCACCAGGTGCTCATTGTAACCATTTCGCACTAGTGTCAGGCCCCCAGCGAGACCACATGCCACTGCCTGCACCTCTTGGCAGAGGAATCTTCACCAGACATTGCCCTTTGCCTTAGCCAGGGTGACATAATCACTCCTGGCTGGGCTATCCCACCCCCAATCTGGCCCTTACACACTCAGGCCTGTGCTCCACTCCCTGTTTCTTCACACTCACACAATGGGGGAGGGGGAGCAAACTGCTCTCCCCTGCTGAACACACACGTGCATGCATACACACACACATGCACACACTCTGTGCACACACAGAGGCTGGGCCCAGGCACATGTCTTCACACCATTCATCCTGATCATTTCCCCCATAGGCATCCCAGCCTGGGGGCAAGTGGGGGACGGGAGAGCAGGGGGATGTGGCAAGAGGCTCAGATGGACTGGGAGGAGGGGGGAGGGTGATGCATTAATTAATGGCTCCATTAATTAATGTCACGTTGCTTGTTGCTTTCTCAGTGTGTGTGTATGGTCCATGCCCGCTGCTGGTGCCAGGGTGGGCACCCATGCTGTACACCCAGCCTAGATGCCAGCCATGTCTTGCGGGGGCGTGTGTGTAACTGTAGTGTAGTCAGGTGCTCAATGGAGAATATAAAAATAAAAAAGAAACATATACAGAAAAATAAATATATATTTTAAGTTTAAAAAACAGGAAAACAGACAAACAATCCCCATCAGGTAGTTGTCCAACCCCCAGCTGGGTCTAATCCTTCTCATCACCCACCCGACCTGGCTGCCCCCTCACCTCGGGCTCGGGGGATCTGTGGGGGACTGGGGGGCCATTTCCTTTTCTCTGCCCTTTTTTTTTTTGGTTGTTGTTCTATTTTGTACAGACAAGTCAGAAAAACAACAGTGACAAAAAAGTCAAGAAACTTTGTAAAATATCGTGTGTGTGATTCCTTGTAAAATATTTTCAAATGGTTTATTACAGAAGATCAGTTATTAAATAATGTTCATATTTTCACTTCAAATGGTTCCCATCCACTGTGTCTGCCTCAGGGTGGGAATTGGGTAGCTTGAAGACAGGTAGCCATGACCTCAAAGTCCCACCTAATACTCAACTGGGAATGAAGGCTATTGCAACCCAGGTACCCAGTAGGTGTAGGGCATGACGCTTCCTGGGCTTCCTAAATACCAGATCCTTGACATCCTGCATCTCAGATAATCTCTGAGAAAAGCTGTCCTTAAAGGCCAGGATGACAGAAGAAAGAAGACAGATGAAATTTGAGTTTAGGTAGGCATCTAGCCATCAGGTCAGACCACCAGGGCCTAGTGGGCAGGTCATCCACTTGGAGCGATGAGTTAATACCTGGCCCAAGTCCATGACCTGGTGTTTGAGGGCCCATCCTGCTATCCAGAGAAGGCCAGGGTCTGGTCCACCCATAAGCATGACCATGGCTCCTTTTCAGTTGAGGGGAGGCCCAAGGCCCAGTGTTCTCCCTGGCTGCCACTGCTCATTCTGGAACCCAAAACTGAATCAGTTTCTGTGAATCCTCTCAGACCTCCCTCTGGCCTGCCCTGTGCCCTTGTTCATTTTAATCCCAACTCTCTTAATAATCAACCCTACTTCCATGTGACCCTTCACATTGTTTTCAAGGAGAGAAACTAGTAACCACCAACACAGAGGTTTCCTTCCCCCCCCCCCCCCCCACCACAGAGGTTTCCTAATACTGCTGATGCTTACTCACTTACAACACACTTTGCACTCACCTGGTAGGCAGTCAGCTTACACCTTAGACTTGGTACTAGTTTATCCCCATAGACAGATAAACGAACAGAGACTAAGTCTCCTCTCTTGGTTGGTGAGAAAGGCAAGAAATCAGCAAAGGTTTCAGCTAGAAACCTGAGGTGACCTGGTAGGGGGGCATTGGATACTAAATAAATGCAGGAGGACATTCTGGGCCTTAGCAAAGACACTCTTCCTCACTCCTCCTGCAGTGGTTGGCCACAGAGCAATGCCTAACTAGTAACCCCTGAGAGAGCTCCCATGCCCTCCCATGCCTGCTCGGTCCCAGGATAGGGTTGCTAGATAAAATGTAGAACATCCGGTCAAATTTAAATTCAGATATATGATGAATTTTTTTAGTATGTTTCCAATACTGTATGATACAACAATACTAAAAAAACTGGGGACATGCTTACACTAAAAATTATTCACCTATCTGAAATTCAAATTTGACTGAACACCCTGCATTTTGATTTGCTAAAGCTGGCAACCCTCCCTGGCATCAAATTAAAGTCCAGACCCTAGACAAAGTCAACACCTTTTGTAACCTAGAAGGCTATGCGCAGGTCGGAAGTTGTACTGAGATCAGTGGCTGAAAGGAAGGGATTCTGCACTTTATACATGTGCTCTGTCACATATAATTGTTTTAACTATATGCACATTTTTAAAAAGTAAATACACCAAAAAATCAGTTTGCACAGGACACAAACTGCTGGAAGCTACCAATGCAGTGAAGTGAGGGCCCTGGGCCACCCTGTCCCAAGTCTGTGGGGGAGATCTCTCCTCCTCAAGGCCAGAGATAAGAAATCTGTGATGGGGAAGAGAGTCACTAAAAGCAGTCCAGCCTTGCCATTTTGGGGACAGGAGACCTGAGTTCAAGTCGCAGTGCCACCACACTTGTAACAAGGGCAGCCTGGGCAACACACTCACTGAGCCCCCAGAGTGGACTGGCATTTTACACCACAGTCCCCTTGAACCCTCACCGTAAAATTATCTCCATTTTACGTCCATGAAATTGAGGAATCTTAGCCAGTGTCGCACAGCCGCCAAATGGAAGAGCAAGAATTCCAGTCTGGGTCAGGTCTCATACACCCATACAACCTGGATCAGACACACACCACCAGGCTGCGGAAGTTTCGGAGTCCCTGCACACTGGTACGCACACCAAGACCATCAACATTCTTACCCACACACCTGTCCACAAAGACACACTCAGAAGTATTCAGATGTACATGCACGGGGCTACTGTTCCCAGGAAATTCAGCAAGCGCGTGTCTGCAGTTTCGCTGCCGCGCAGGTACCCGCAGCTTTCCTCCAGGTTAGCGAAGCTATTGACTCCTCCCCACTCCCCGACAACAGGCGGAAACTGTCCTGAGAACTACAACTCCCAAGCACACCTTCCTCTTACCAACTGGAACGGCCCGGGAGCGCAGCTTCCTGGAACTTGTAGTTTTACCCAGAAAGTTGATATCCGCTCGTCCCCGGCTTCGGCTGAGGACTCCATGTCCCAGCATGCCGCAGAGCCGGAAGGGCATCCCACCGCCGTAGGGAGCGCGCAAGCGCAGCACCCTGTTTGTCGGTGCCTGGGAAGGGAGGAGGTACGGTCGTAGCCAAGACCGAGGCCGAGCCGGAGCTGACGAGACTTGACTGGGGCCCAGAACTAGGCTCCAGTCCCACGCAGATCGTAGGGCCCCCGAGTGGATGGAATAGGCCGAGCCCTGAGATCAACGCCAGCCCGGTCAGCTCGGCGCGGGGCCCACAGGGCAGGCAGGCGAGCAGACGTGCAGAAGCCTCCCAGGGCCTTCCCTCAGGTCCCCGGCAAGGGGCCTAGGCCCCGGCCCCGCGACCAGGCCCAACTTGACCCTTTGGGACCGGAGCCAACCCGACCAGAAGTGGAGTCTTCACCGGGGCCATAGGCCAGTGACTAGGCCGGCCCGGGCCTCCCGTCGGGGCCGGACTGGGGCGAGGCCCCGGGGAGGCCCCTAACACACTAGACCTTTCCCCCAGGCCGACGCCCTTCGGGAAGATGCAGCGCGCCCTACCGGGCGCCCGCCAGCACTTGGGGGCCATCCTGGCCAGCGCCAGCGTGGTGGTAAAGGCCCTGTGTGCGACAGTACTCTTCCTCTACCTGCTGTCCTTCGCCGTGGACACGGGCTGCCTGGCGGTTACCCCAGGCTACCTCTTTCCGCCCAACTTCTGGATCTGGACCCTGGCCACCCATGGGCTGATGGAACAGCACGTGTGGGATGTGGCTATCAGTCTTGCCACGGTGGTGGTGGCTGGACGTTTGCTGGAGCCCCTCTGGGGGGCCTTGGAGCTGCTCATCTTCTTCTCAGTGGTGAACGTGTCAGTGGGGTTGTTGGGGGCCTTCGCCTACCTCCTCACCTACATGGCTTCCTTCAACTTGGTCTACCTTTTCACTATCCGCATCCACGGAGCCCTGGGCTTCCTAGGTGGTGTCCTGGTGGCACTCAAGCAAACCATGGGGGACTGTGTGGTCTTGCGTGTGCCCCAGGTGCGTGTCAGCGTGGTGCCTATGCTGCTGTTGGGGCTGCTGCTGCTGTTGCGGCTGGCCACGCTGCTCCAGAGCCCAGCACTGGCCTCCTATGGCTTTGGGCTGCTCTCCAGTTGGGTTTATCTTCGCTTCTACCAGCGCCATAGCCGAGGCCGAGGGGACATGGCTGACCACTTCGCTTTTGCCACCTTCTTCCCTGAGATTCTGCAGCCCGTGGTGGGGCTGTTGGCGAACTTGGTGCACGGCCTCCTGGTGAAGGTAAAGATATGCCAGAAGACAGTGAAGCGCTATGATGTAGGTGCCCCGTCTTCCATCACCATCAGCCTCCCAGGGACAGACCCTCAAGATGCAGAACGGAGAAGGTACTGTGGAGTATTCCAAAACCTTGTTGAACTAGGAGAGTATTGATCAAGCCCCATATCGTCTGTTATACTTGCTGTATGTTGGCTGGCAGCCAAGGGTCAGGTGTTGGGGCAGACTCAGAGATAAAATCCAGTTTGTGGTTTTGAGAAACTCAGCATGTAGGAGTCTGGGCTCCAGTAGGTGTTTTCCAACATTAAGGAGTGAAAGTTGCCTTTCTCACCACTCAGGCTACTTAACAAGCCCCAAGAAATGCCCAGTGTCCTTTTATACTGTGTGAGGGGTTAATGGCCAGATACACATAATCCTAATCATGTCAGAAACTCGGAATCCTAGACACTGGTCCTATGGGAGCCAGAAACAACCTGCTGGTCCTTTTTCCCCTGTGAGGGAGGAACAGAGAAAGAGACCTGGGATTCTTATTAGGCAGTCTGGGCCACCCCAATTTCAAAATGCTGAGCCATGTCCTCTTCCTGGATCTTAAAAATTCATATGCTGTGCTTCTCTGCCACTTATTGAGAGGGAAACTTGGGGTACTACACCCCGTCCTTCTAGCATGTATGTGTCACCAAACCCAGGGGACAGGCCATGTGACCCACTGTGGAGTCTGCTGACCACACAGGGAGTGGAGACAACCTTTTTAATTATCTGTAAACCAAGCCATCTGCACCATCTGGAGTCCCAGATGAATTATTCACTGAATGCACCTTGGCCAGGGCAGGGCAGATCTTTTTTTAATCCAGCTTTCTGGCTCGTTCTCTCTCTCTCCCAGGTCTGTTGACTCACCAGAGTGGTAACAGCTCTATTTTCAACATTATTGTTGAGAGTTTTTGTTTTTTTGAGGCAGTTCTTTTAGTAGTGAAGCCTGGAGCAGGCTTTGTTCCTCCTGTCAGCTTCTTTTGCTCACCTGTGAAATGGATTCTTGGCAGACAGTTTTATGAATTCAGCTGAAAAGTTATCCCTGTGCTTACTCTCCACTGGGGCTGTGGATTTCAGTGCGGGACACACCCCTTTCATGAAGGGGTTTCCAGCAGGGGAAGGGCTGCAGATTACTATGGCCTAAGGTGGTGGATGTTGAAAAGTAGTACACAAGGCATGCTGCGGGGCATAACTGTTGGCCCTACAGTTTGTGTCTATGGCTGATGAATTCTAAAGACAGGTCTGTCTTCATTTTATACAGTGGAGAAGATGGGACCAAGAGGGTTGGGCCTGGTAGAAACTGAGCTGTCCTCAGCTCTACAGGTGGGGCCAAGACACGGTGGTGACTCCTCCTTTAGTGAGAAGTCTTGGACTGTTAGGGTTGGCTGACATTTCAAAACACCTCTGCTCAGGCCCAAGAAAATGGCAGGTTGGGGTAGGCGAGGTTGTCAGGATGTGGGTTCTTGACGTAGCCTTATGGTTGTTACTACTCCAAGCAGTTGGACATCTGGCAGCATGCCACTCCCAAACCCAAATGGCTACTAGTAGTGGGGAGACAGGGTTTCCTATATTTGACTCTTGTGAGGAAGTGACTAGCATGCCATTACCTCTCTACATTGGCAGACTTTAGACAGAACTGACAAGGCAGTCTCCAGGATGGAAGCCTGGGTAGCACAGGGAAGGACTGTCCTGTTTATGCCAGTTCGCCATGTGTCAGGCTGGAGGAAAGGGTGGAATTGTGCTTGGGTTTTCTGCGCCTGTGTTCTTGTTGCCTTTTCTGTCACGTTCCCTGGTATGGTGGAGGTTTTGGTTCTCTGCTGGAACTTGGAAAGCTATCACAGGCTGTTCCCCCATGCTTGTAGCACAAACAGGTTGAGGCATCAGGGTTTCATAGTGACCACTAGTGAAAGTTTTGCCTGGCAGCACGGGCATTCTACCTCCTGGTAGACTAGGGTCCCAAGTGCACGTGTATATCTTCTAGTCAACTTTCCCATCTCCCCCCAAGTGAGATCCAAAAGGATTTGTCCAGTGGAACCAGTAAGCTTTGGCCTGTGTCCCGTCCAAATGGGCTGTTCCTCCTCTTTCTGCAAGGACTTGGTGTTCACTGCTCTAACACCGGTAGTGGTGGCTTTGGGGATTCTTCTGGGAAGGAGAACATTAGAGTCAGGAGGGGTGGGCTGACCCAAGTTGGACCTGCTTCCCAGGTTGAGATCCAGGATAGGTGCCTGCATTCCAGCATTCCCCACAGACCCTTGCCAGGAGACTCAAAACACCCCTAATGAGGAGAGAGGAAGAAGTAATAACTCTCTCCTTGGATGTGATACCAGTGCCCAGGCAGAAACTCCCATGTTCAGGGACTCCTTCCACCCATCTTTCTTGGGGTACCAACTCTGCCCACGCTTAGGCACCACCCTCAGAATCATTCGTGGGACTGGCCTGGTGGACAGTATGGCAAACACCCTGATGGCCTTCTCAGCCTGAAGGTGCCCTGGCTATGAAGGGGAGGCTCTACAGCCTTTGGGTCCTTCTTCTGATGGCAGAGGTGGCCCTCTCCAGTCCCTGGGAAGCCCTGGGCCCTGCATGGTGAAGGGGAATACATAGAATTCTGAGAGAAGTCTGGGTGGTAGGGGGAGTCAGCTTCATGGGGGAAGAGTACAGGGCATGAGCCAAGTGACTTGTCATCTTTCCTCTGGCTCCAGGCAACTGGCCCTGAAGGCCCTCAATGAGCGGCTGAAGAGAGTGGAGGACCAGTCCGTCTGGCCAAGCATGGATGACGATGAAGAGGAGGCAGGGGCCAAGGTGGATAGCCCCCTACCCTCAGACAAGGCCCCCATGCTCCCAGGGAAGGGGGCTGCCCCAGAATCCAGCCTGATCACCTTCGAGGCAGCTCCGCCGAAGCTGTAACTCCAGACCACCTTGAGTGTAGGCGCCTCCTCTCCCAAGCCCCCCCTTGACACCTCTCAGCTACTCCAGGGCACTGACTGCTCTGAGAAGGAAGAAGGGCTGCTGGGGGTTTCCACAGCCTTCTGCTATCTCTCGCCAACACTACCCAGGACTCTTGCTACCTGGTTCCAACTCCAGACAACCACTATGCCAGGCATGGGGCCTCTGAAGTGTCAGCCAGCCCAGGCCATCTGAGGTAAGACTGTACCTCAGCAGACAGCCCCAAGCAAGTGGCTGCAGGGACAGTGGTGCCACACCTCCTGGGCCAACCCTGATGCCTGATACTGGTTGCCAAGAGCCCTGAGCCAAGGCAAGGATTTGCCAAAAACGTTCTGGGGGTCCAGCCAGTGCAGGGCTGCACATTCCTGCCCACCCTCAGAAAGACTATGTTCATGTGAAAATTTCTGATTCCCTCTGCTGTGGCTATGGCTGCTTCTTGGCCAGAAGAGCCACGGCTCCCAAGTATTTTCTACAGGACCACTTGAGTGGGCAGTGAAGCCCAGCCTCGCAGTATCAATAAAGCAGTTCTTTGAGGTATGGCTCCTGGGCTCTATCAGACCACCTTGGGCAGCCCCCTCGTTATGTTCAACTGCAAAGTTAGGGACTTTACTCTAGGTTCAAGGGCTTGGTCTCCCTGCCAGCTCCAGCTGAATAAGAAGCCTATTGCCCCCACTCCCCCTACCCCCACTGTTAAACACCCTTCCCAGAGCTGTCACTTCCAATACTTACTCATTTTCTCTCTCTCTCTGATTCCCAGTCAGGGAGGCTCTGCCCAGAAGATCGGATGGTTGAGGGCCTCTCTACCATAAAGAGTGTTCTTATCGATTGCTCACTCTCAAGACAGTGGTCAGTGCTTGACACCTATGGAAACAGCCCATCCCCAGCTCCCACCGTGTCACTGTCCACATCTAACCACCAGTTTGGCGATGCCAGCACAGTATGCAGGTGGGAGAGTGAAAGGACACATAGCTGTACCATCTAGGGCCACCCATCTAGGGCCCTGGGTGGCACAGGAGGGCACAGGAGGCTCAGCAGCCAGATCTCAGAGCTCATGTGCTGGGAGAGCTTCAGCCCCTCAGTGAGCAGACAGGGACAGGGGTCCCCATCTTGCCTAGCTGCCTGTTTCTTCACTCTGACAGCATTAGTGAGAACTACCCCCAGTTCTAAGCTATTCCTCCCATCCGGTCTTTTCAGTCATTCTTCTTTATTTTGCTTTTTTCTCTCCTGTAATTTCCAGACATACCAGTACAAGTATGAGTTGAGTTGCTGGGGAAGTAGGTTTGCAACCCCAGCTTCATCCAGACATCATCCATAAGCTCCTCTGGGACAGTACAGAAGAAAAGGGGAAGCACTCCACCATGAGGAGCAAGCAAAAAATGTCACACACAAGACTCCTACTTTAGATTTCCCCAGTGCCTGAGATGTCCTCATGACTTAGCTGAGAAAATCCAGGAGGCCCCAGCCCCCACTACTACACTGAGGGGCAAATCCAGGCTTCTAGGCTGGGAAGAGCTCATGGCTGGATCCTTTTGCGGTACAGGTAGGCGTTGCTCACCTGACTCATGATGACCAAACTGGTAATGACAGGGCATAGCACAGCAAGGTACCAGACCCCACCAGTGACTGTGGCGGTGAACCAGAGGGAGCACATGCCCAACAAGAGGCTGGCACTACCCAGAAGGTAGCCCACTAGCCCAGAAGTGGCATGGTATAGCTTGAGCTTAGCCAGGGGCCAGCGGGGCAGCAGTTTAGGGTAGAGCAGCCCCACCCCACCTGAGCACTGCAACCCGGCCCACAGCACAGCTATCATCCCTGCCCGCCCATGCCACGTGGCCAGGTGGGCTTTGCCAAGCTGTTCCTTATGGAGGATGACAAGACTTAGGCCCAGCAGTGCACACAGCAGGGCCAGCAGCTGCAGTACCCAGTGGCAGCGTGCTCGGCCCTTCCGTGAGAGGGAGCGCAGCAGCGAACTCTCAGGAGAGAACACCAGCAGTGCCTCGGTCATCAGGAAAGAGAACTGGGGAAACAGGGATGGGAAACTAAGTCAGGAAAAAAAGCTTCAGATAACTTTCTAAGCTGCCAGTCACTGTGGGCAGATTCCCCCTCTCCATTCTCTACCCAATGACAAGAGTATCCATTTGGAGGGGCAAGAGTGGGGAGCTCTATCAGGGACAGGACATCTGCCCTTAGTAACTGGCAAGAGGTATATACCTCTTCACATTTCTTCCTAGGTGCTATTTTGAAATGTCATGTCTGCTACATTACCCAGCAAACACAAGGTTTGAGATGTGGCAGTTATAAATGATTCACAAGCTTTGTTTCCCTAACACAGGGCTGGATACAGTTACTTGGCAAGAGCTGGCCACATGGGTGCACTATTTCAGGGAAAATTAGATGCATCACCATAAATTAAGGTAAAAAGAGACACAGGTACACTCAAAAATCATTTTCCAGGCTTCTTGCCTGGAGGTGGATAAAGCCTCATTTTGTGCTTAGGCAAATTTGCCCTGGGTTTTGAACATTCTGGTTCAAGTCTGGTTTATATACTACAGGCAGGTGTTGGAGCATGCGACTCCTCCAGTTCCACATTCCACCCCTCCAAAGAGATATTAAGCATCCATAAGGATTCAGAGGCTACCCGGGCTACCACCCGGAACTATGCTCCCTCCCGCCCCTAAGAGCTGGCCAGGGCCACTACTTACAGCCAGAGACATAAGCATGGGGTGCCAGGAGAACAGACCTGGAATGAAGAGGAGGCTTTGTGAGGCTGAGGCAAGAAGAACCCAGCCACACCGATCCCTACAGTCTGAGGAAAATGGGCAGCGCATCGCCCAAGGAAATGCTGCCAAAATACTAAGGCCCCTGTTACTGCAACAAGCTGATCCCACACCTATCCTTGCTCCCTGGTCCCTCCGTGGAGCAGAGGGCATGCTTTGCCACTCCTCTGGCAGGCCTCCCTCCTTCTCCTAGCACTTCACACAAGGCAGCCAAGTGGAGCACCAAGACAAGGAAAGAAGAGCCAGGTACTCTGGCCAAACTGACAGAGCCCCCACACTCACTTCCTCCCCACTTATTCCTCCAGCATACGATGTCCCCCAGCCAACCAAGCCTTTCCCAGGAGTCAGGCCCAAGGCTTCCTATTGCTCCTGCTCCCCAGGAGAAGGGGCACTTTCCTTCCCAGAAGTCAACTATGAATTCTACTTACTGGAGCCAGGCCTGGCAAGCACAGCCACAAAGATCGTAAAGCCCAGGGCCACAAGGTGGGCAGCAGCCCCAGAGGCAGTGCGCAGAGCTCGGTAGATGTGCGACTCGGTCTCCACAGAAAGGGCCATGGTCAACCAGGCCAGTGGCTGGAGCCTGAAAGCATAGTAGAATGAGCAAGGGTCTCAAGTGCCTGCTGTCCACTCCTCACACTGGAGCAAGGGTTGCAGGGCAGGAATGCCACTCTCTTCCAAGAAGTAGGCGAGGGCTGGCAGCCTGTCAGCGTGTACCCAGTATCTGAACTGGCACTGATCACTGGCCCACCTTCCAGGTAGGATGCGCAAGGCCGAGTAATAGACTACAAATCCCAGCGTGCATCACGCCATCGCCGGACGGGAGCGCCAGCAGGAAGCGCGTGAAGCGCTACGGGTATTGTAGTTCCCATCTGCTCCCGACTTTACAGCCTGAATCCCTTCGCGCACAGTCTCCCCACGTGCCGCTGGCATGCTGACCCTACATGCTAGGGACTCGCCTGCCTCACCTGCAGCACTGACCCGACTTGGTGGTTTCTTCCCAAGAAAGCGGGATACTCAGGCCCCTGTCGCGCGCACTGCAGCTCCGTCGCGGAGCCGCTTTACTTCCGGGTGCGACGTCTACCTACCCGGGACTTCCTGGGACAAGCTTCCCCACCCCCGCGCCACACCTCTCAGTCATGCTGCGCAGGCGCCGTTGGGCAGACAGCGTGACGGGTGTGAGTGCGCAAGCGCGCTTGATCCACCATCCAGGCCTTCGGGCTGTTTCCGACGGGTGTTCGCAGGGGGTCCAGCCGTCAGAAACTACAGACCTGGGCTCTGCTGGCGCCATGGGCAGCGGCTGCCGTATCGAATGCATATTCTTCAGCGAGTTCCACCCCACGCTGGGACCCAAGATCACCTATCAGGTGCCATCCGGGCTCGCGGGGCTGGGGGCAGAGGGGGACGGGGAGAGGGACGCTCTCGCGAGCTCAAGCAGGCTGCCTGGAAGCAGAGGATTCCCGTGCCCCGTGCTGCACACAGTCACACCACTCCTTCATTCATGGAGAATCATTAACCGAGAGAATACTCAGACCCAGGCCCCAGGCTCCCAGTGTTGGGGAGCAAACATCCCATAGACAGTGACTGTGAGAAATCGGGCTGTGGGGACCCAGAGGAGGTATCAGTTCCCAAGAGAGGTAGGGATGCGCGGTCCTACAGTATCCCTGGATGCTTAGGAATTTAGATGGAGGCGAGTGTGTGCCAGGTAGGGGAAACAGCATATGCAAAAGACGGGAGGCAGGTGAGAACCTGGAGTGTGTTTGGGAACACAAAGGAGTAGTAGGCCTGGGTGGATGGGAGAGAGGTGAAACGCTGGACAAGAGGGCTTAGTCCTTGGGGGTCCCCCAAGGTATTATGCCTAGTCCCAAGGTCCACTAAGGGGCCTCTTGCCACTCCGCCTCCCAGGTCCCTGAAGACTTCATCTCCCGGGAGCTGTTTGACACAGTCCAAGTGTACATCATCACCAAGCCAGAGCTGCAGAACAAGCTTATCACTGTGTGAGGCCCTAGTGGGGAAGGCGGGGGATGTCCCAGGAGGAGAGGACAAGTTTGGGAGCAGAAAGAACCTGACTCTGTTCCCACCTGTTCCCCCCATCCAGCACAGCCATGGAGAAGAAACTGATCGGCTGCCCTGTATGCATCGAGCACAAGAAGTACAGCCGCAATGCCCTGCTCTTCAACCTAGGCTTCGTGTGTGATGCTCAGGCTAAGACCTGTGCCCTTGAGCCCATCGTCAAAAAGCTGGCTGGCTACCTGACCACACTGGAGGTCTGCAACACAATGGGCTTGAGTGGATGGGCAGGCAGACAAATGTTTCCAAAGCCCTCCAGACCTAGGAATCTGCCAGGGCAGGATGCTGGCCAGGGGTCCCAGGGTGTGCCCACCATGTTGTCCATGCTCCATTCAGCTAGAGAGCAGCTTCGTGTCAACAGAGGAGAGCAAGCAGAAGTTGGTGCCTATCATGACCATCTTGCTGGAGGAGCTAAATGCCTCAGGCCGGTGCACTCTGCCCATCGGTATGGCCCAGCCTTTGCAAGGACAGCAAAGGGGTAGAGGAAGAATAGGAACATAGCAGGGGAAGGCAAGCCCAGCCATGGACAAGACTAATGAACAAATTGGTGGCCAATAAATAGCCATGAGCTGGCTTGATGATGTCCAAGGTCCAGTGCATGTTAGGATTTAGGATTTGGAGGCCATGCTTCATGTTCCTTGGGCATATTCCTTTCCCTCTCTGGACCTATCTCTTCTTCCATGAAAGGGGAAGATTTGGGGCGCCTGCCTGCCTCAGTCAGTAGAGCATGTGAGTCTTGATCTGAGGGTCGTAAGTTCAGGCCCCACATTAGGCATAGAGTTTAAAGTAGAGGGGAAGGGGGAGACTGGCCCTACCCAGAGCTACCCATCTCCATCAAGGGCTTCTGGGAGGACCGGAGGGTAATTGAGGGCCTCTTAAAGGAGATGACACTGAAGATATGGGTGGGTCCCCTGCAGATGAGTCCAACACCATCCACTTGAAGGTGATTGAGCAGCGACCTGACCCTCCTGTGGCCCAGGAGTATGATGTGCCTGTCTTTACCAAAGACAAGGAGGATTTCTTCAACTCACAGTGGGACCTCACCACACAACAGGTGTGCTAGCCCTCCCTGGGTATCATCACGTAGAGCTGGCCACAGCCCTGGCCTCACCCCATCCCTGCTGACCCTGCCCTGCCCTGCCCTGCCCAGATCCTGCCCTACATTGACGGCTTCCGCCATGTCCAGAAGATCTCAGCAGAGGCAGATGTGGAGTTAAACCTGGTGCGCATTGCCATCCAGAACTTGCTGTAAGTGCAGCAACAGTCACACTCAGGACAGGGTTGCTAGCCAGGAAAGAGCCCTGGGACCCTGAGTGTGGGGGCTGGGAAGGCATGGCCCTCAGAAGCTGAGCACAACTATCTCCCCCAGGTATTATGGCGTTGTGACACTGGTGTCCATCCTTCAGGTAGGTGAGTCTGGGGTCTGGTTAAGCAGAGAGTGGATCATGTGGCTTGGCCAGACTGGGGCTGTGTCAGAGTTCCAAGCCCCTCACTGAGCCCCCTGTGCCTCCTGCTACCTTCCAGTATTCCAATGTGTACTGCCCGACACCCAAGGTCCAGGACCTGGTAGATGACAAGTCCCTGCAGGAAGCGTGTTTATCCTATGTGACTAAGCAAGGTAGTGGCGGGCTCTCGGGGAGGCCATCTTGGGGAGGGCAGAGCTACAAGCAGATCTGACCCCTGGTGCCCACAGGGCACAAGAGGGCCAGTCTCCGGGATGTGTTCCAGCTGTACTGCAGTCTGAGCCCTGGCACTACTGTGAGAGACCTCATTGGCCGCCACCCCCAGCAGCTGCAGCGCGTTGATGAACGGTCAGAAGGGGATTCCCAGGGGCATGAGGGGTTTGCCTGAAGGCAGATACTCTATATCTCTCTGGAGCCCCGGGTTAGAGAGGAATCAGGAGATTCCCAGTGAGCAGAATCATGTGGCACTGCTAGTCCAGGCAGGCTTTCTGGAGATGATGTGTTTGGAGGCCAGTCTGGTCACTGAGACGAAATGGGAAGGGAGACTGCAGGAAAGAGTTGGCCTGGCTGGAGGAAGTCCTGGCCAGGGCATCATCCCCCTCTCCCTCAACCCCACCCCAGGAAGCTTATCCAGTTCGGGCTTATGAAGAACCTCATCCGACGACTACAGAAGTATCCTGTGCGGGTGTCTCGGGAGGAGCGGAGCCATCCTGCCCGGCTTTACACAGGCTGCCACAGCTACGATGAAATCTGTTGCAAAACAGGTGGGGGCAGGCAGCTCAGCTAAGGTTGGGGCAGGGCAGGGTGGTCAAGTCATGGTTACTCACCTCACCTGCACTGTCCCAAATAGGCATGAGCTACCACGAGCTTGATGAACGGCTGGAAAATGACCCCAACATCATCATCTGCTGGAAGTGAGACTGGGGTGGCCTGGTCTAGGCACATGGCTGTGGCTACTCTGTACTGCTAAGCCTTGCCTGGTACATGGGGGCTAGACCAGTAGACTAGTCCATATTGTCTCAAGGTTGACCCTCACTTCTGTGAATAAAATCACCCATTTCAACCTGTCTTTATTGAGTACCGCCTCTAAACCAGCCATTGGAGAACTGGCAGTGAAATAGCTGAGGTCCTGGCACCCTGGTGCGCCATCTGGTGGGCAAGACTGGCTATGGACAAGTAAATGTGCTGGGTAATTATAAACTGAAATAACAGCCAGAAAGAAACAATCAGGAAGCTGTGATGAAGAATGACTTGGGGTGGGAGCTGGGGCTGTCCTGGATTAAATGGGCAAGGAAGGCCTCGCTGAGGTGACTTGAACTGAGGCCTGAAGGAGGAAGAGTATTCCAGGCAGAGGGAACAGGTGCAAAGTAAAAGCAACTTTAGGATGTATGAGGAACCTGGGGCATCTGGGTGGCTCAGGTGGTGGTGGCTCAGCCGGTTAAGCTTTCAACTTCAGTTCAGGTCATGATCTCACGGTTGGTGGGTTGGAGCCCTGCATCACGCTTTCTGCTGTCAGCAGGAGCCTACTTCAGATCCTCTGTATCCCTCTCTCTCTGCTTCTCCCCCCCTCAAAAATAAATAAACATTAAAAAAAAAATGTGTAAGGAACCCAAGAGAGGCCCCCTGGGGCTGAAACATGGGAAGCAATGGGGAGAGGGACAACAGATGAAGTAGTGAGGTAAGGAAGGGGCAAGACCTTAATACTGCAGAATTGCTGATAAGCTGCTTTGGACATTATTTCGAGGACTAGAAGCGTCCACAGAGTCACCTAGAAAAAGACTACAGCAGTTACTTCATGACATGTGCTGGCAGTCTGCTAGGCTAGAATGGAGAGACGTGGGCACTGGGCAGTACTTTAGGGGATAGAGCCAACAGGTGGAGTCGGGCAGGAGACATACTGGAGGCAGGAAACCACGCAGAAGCTGTACAGCCGAGGTAGAGCTGCTGCAGGAAGAGCTGGTGGGGGCGAGGTGACCCCATCCCCGTGCGGGTCGATTTGATGTCCTAGGAGGAAGCCTAGGCCACCCGAGTCCGGTACTCAGGGCAGACCCGTGAGCCGCAGGCGGTGAAGGAGAAAGTTCTGGGAGTCCAAAGAGGGCTAACTGCAGCCGGAAAAGTGAGGTGGGCGGGGGCGGGGCCGGAGCCTGCGCAGCGCGCGCAGGCGCTGGACTAACCGTTTCCATGGCGGCGCGGACCCACGCGCCCCAACCACTCCGCAACGGCTGTATCCAAGACGTCGACCGAGTCGGTGATCCTCGGCTTCCAGCGCGCGCCGCGCCTTCAGCGTCGCTGCTGCCCAGGTCGGCGAATCACCTTCCACTTCTTCGGTCAGCACAACGCCGACGCGAGCTGCTACTGCCGGGGGAGGCTGCCGTACTGGTGCGAAATTTTGCGCACGCTTCCGCGCGCGAATCGAATCGAAGGGTGAGCAGCTGGGATCAGAAGTCAGGAGGAGTTTTGAGTCCGGGAAATCACTTGAATGGGGGCTGGGCCTGACACTGGGGGGGGGGGGGGGGAAGGGTACCCGGTGTGGAAGAGCCTCCAGGTGAGAAGACAAAGCTCAAGTTAGGGGATGTATGGTCCTGAGCCCTCTCTGGCCCCTTGGGATCAGGTTAGGCTTCAATAGGACCCGGCCCTCACTCCACTCCTAATGCACATATGTGCACCCAAATGCACATACACCCCTGCTCTCTGGGACAGATGGAACCAGCAGCATGAGAACTTGGAGAAGCTGAACATGCAGGCCATCCTTGATGCTACAGCCAGCCAGGGCGAGCCCATCCAGGAGCTGCTGGTCACCCATGGGAAGGTATGCTGGGGCCACAAACAGGGTTCCTGCCTTCCTGCCACCTTCCACACCACCACTCTACTCAAGAGTACCCTGCTCAAGAGTACCCTGGGTGCCTGTGCTTCCCTCTGGCTGGTACACTTGTCTTCCCCAAGGGAAAAGAGAGGAGTGTGTTGCACATTTGACTTTGCACCCCTTTGGATAAGACCCTGGCACACCAGGCCAAGTGTGAGGTGTGGGTTGATTTGGAAGATAGTCATGGATCATACAACAGCCTAGGCTGTGGGGGGAGGGCCTAAGTTCTAAAGACATCCTTGAATAGTCTGTCAGGCCAGAGGGGGCCCTCACTGAAAAGGGGGTGGGGCTTTGGCATGGAAGGAAGCACCCTTCCTAACTTGAGAGAGGAGTTGGAAATCAGGGATCAACCTGGCTGGAACATGAGCCAGGAGGTGGCTGGAATAAGTGACCTGAGATATCACTTGACAAAAAGCTTCCTCTGTGAAGAAAAGGTGGACCCCCCACCAATGGGGGTGAGGGTAGAAGACTAGGAAACTGCAGGGCCCAGAGTAAGAGTGAGGTCAAGACACACCAGAACTTTGGAAGGACAGAGGACAGAGACAAGAAGAGAGAGGGCATGAGCAGGAGAGCCAGCCTGAAGGAAGGTCTGGATAGAGGTAGAGGGGACAAGGGTGTAGGTGCAGGGTGGAGCAAGGCAGCCTAGGGACAAAGCAAGAGCCAATAACAAGAAGCATGGAGGATGTCCCCAAAGAGATTTTGAGGGCAGCTAGAAATGAAGGTCTAAGGTGCCGGAGAGAGGTTGGGAAGGTGCCTACGAGGAGAATCTAGGAGCCCAGAAGAGTTTGAGGAGAGTTGGGCTGGGCTGAGCCAGGGATGGGAGCATTAACAGGCCAAGGTAGGCCTACTTCATCCGTCCTTCCCCTCCCCCTCAAAGATCCCGACGCTAGTTGAGGAGCTGATTGCAGTGGAGATGTGGAAGCAGAAGGTGTTCCCTGTGCTGTGCAGACTGGAGGACTTCAAGCCCCAGAACACTTTTCCCATATACATGGTGGTGAGCTGGGTTCCTGGGTCATATCCTGCCCATGCCTGTAGAGGGCCCTGGACTAGAGAAGAGAGATGGTAATAGCATCCTTCCTTCAGTATCCCCAGGCTCTGTCCTCTTTCTCTGACAGGTGCACCATGAGGCCTCCATCATCAACCTTCTGGAGACAGTATTCTTCCACAAGGTGAGGCATCAGCCCTGCCCACTGGCTACTGCTCCCAGCAAGGGCCTGACAGGGAGGGAGGTTGTGTCTATGTGGAAAGAGCATCAGAGACAGAATGTTTCCCATCTGCCTGCCTCTCAGGAGGTGTGTGAGTCAGCAGAGGACGCTGTCTTAGACTTGATAGACTACTGCCACCGAAAACTGACTCTACTGGTGGCCCGGAGTAGCCGTGGTGGCCCTCCTGAAGAGGAGGAGTGCCAGTCCAGCACCCCCATGCAGGTAGGCTGAGGTTCCCTGGGGGTGTCAATGGCTAGATCAGGCTCTTTTGAGGCCTGGGCAGCAGGGGGTGGCCCAGCTTGAGCACCATGTCGCCCCCCAGGAGCTGCAGAAGCAGGCAGAGCTGATGGAGTTTGAGATCGCATCGAAGGCCCTCTCAGTGCTGCGCTACATTACAGACTGTGTGGACAGGTGGGCAGCTCTGCCAGGCCTGGGACCTTCAGTGGAAGGCTGAGAGCCTGGGCCTTTAGCTTCTGTTCGCTTCTCTCCACCACCACCCCTAGCCTTTCCTTGAGCACCTTGAACCGCATGCTCAGTACCCACAACTTGCCCTGCCTCCTGGTTGAACTGCTGGAGCACAATCCGTGGAGCCGGCGGGAAGGAGGTAAACCCTCCCTGAACTGCCTAAGCCCCAGCTCACTGCTTCCAGAACATCCTCCAGGATTTATGGGTATGGGCAGATTGCACACACAGGCAGACAAACTCTGCCCATTAGCCCATAGAGGATACCAGGATGCCTCACCCAAGATGGGCTTTGACCTGGGCTCCGCAGCAGGCAAGGCCTGTTTGTCTACTACCAAGGACTCCCCTGCTCTGGAGCAAGCAGCACCCCCTCCTGGGCAAGTCGTGCACTTGGGCAGCACCCCAGCCCATGCAGCTGTCTGACTCAGAGTGTGCAACACCTGCTCCCAGTGCACTGGTTCTTCTCCCCAGGCAAGCTGCAGCAATTTGAGGGTGGCCGTTGGCAGACAGTGGCCCCCTCAGAGCAGCAAAAGCTGAGCAAGTTGGATGGGCAGGTGTGGATTGCCCTGTACAACCTGCTACTGAGCCACGAAGCCCAGGCCCGCTACTGCTTCACCAGCTTTGCCAAGGGACAGCTACTCAAGGTGGGGAGCTCCTCCTGCATTGGTACCACCCCATTCCACCCCATCCCACCCCTGCTGTTTATCACTGTCCACCTACATCAGCCCCAGTCCTCTTTCCAGACCTCGGACCTCAGGTGATGAAGCAGCTAGTGGCACAAGGTCCCCACACGCACCTCAACCCAGCACAGCCTAGGCCCTCTCTGGTCAGCACCACTTCACACTGGCCTCCCCCGGATTCCCTTGCAGCTTCAGGCCTTCCTCACAGACACACTGGTCGACCAGCTTCCCAACCTGGCAGGCCTGCAGGGCTTCCTGGCCCACCTGGCCCTGACTGAAACCCAGCCCCCTAAGAAGGACCTGGTGTTGGAACAGGTAGGGACTAGCAAGTTAGTTGCTCAGGACCACTGTCCACTTTGCCAGCTCCTCCCTGACACTTTCCACTTCTCTCCCTCAGATCCCAGAAATCTGGGAGCGGCTAGAGAGAGAGAACAGAGGCAAGTGGCAAGCTATTGCCAAGTACCAGCTGCGGCATGTATTCAGCCCCTCAGAGCAAGACCTGCAGCTGCAGGCACGAAGGTGTGGCCTGCTGAGTGGGCAGAAGGGGTGGGAGACACGAAGAAGGCATGGACACAGGCAGCGGTGCTCTTGTGCCCCCACTGGCCAGGCCCAACCAGGCTTTCCTGACCTCTTTCCTAGATGGGCTGAGACCTACAGGCTGGACGTGCTAGAGGCAATAGCTCCAGAGCGGCCCCGCTGTGCCTACTGCAGTGCAGAGGCCTCCAAACGCTGCTCGCGATGCCAGAATGAATGGTATTGCTGCAGGTGAGGGTATTATAGGACCTTGGACTCCTAAGCCACACTTCCATACCCCCCACAAGCACTGCATGCTCACCGGCCCACCTGCCTGCAGGGAGTGCCAAGTCAAGCACTGGGAGAAGCATGGAAAGGCTTGTGTCTTGGCAGCCCAAGGTGACAGAGCCAAGTGAAGGCTACAGCCGCTGAGGGCCACCCACCCATGCGGTACAACCCACTCAGAATGTGCCCTGGACCTCAGGATCTCAGCCTAGCGTCTGCCAGAGCCCCAGCTTCCCAGGTGGTGAGCACAGCGGGGGAAGGGTACAGCTGCCGCCCCATCTCCCCCAGTAAAGCGCTCCCCACTTCCTGCCCTACCCAGCGGGTAGGCTGAGGGCGCTGCCTCAGCAAGCAGGAGGCCTGGGCGGGGGCAAAGGCAAGGGCCGGATGTGGGGACCCTGTTGGTCTAGCACAGTAAAGCTGGCCTCTAGAAACAGTCTGTCTCTGAGTGGCCTTTTGCGGTGGTCGTCGTCGTCGTCGTCGTCGTCAGCAGGAGGGAGGTTGCTCCCAGGATGCGTGGAGAAAAGGAAAAGGAGGGCGGGGACTCTGCGAGAGCGTGCCCAACCCCGCGCCCTCGCCGCCCCATTCCGCCTGTGGGCCCACACGGCCGGAGCGCCCAGGTTTCCTTTGCACCGCTCGCCCCGGTTCTCTCCCGCCGCCCTGCCGGGATCCCGGGGGCGGCGCCGAATCGGGGTCCGCCCCGCGGCCCCGCCCGCCCCGTGCTCGCTCGCGCCGACAGCCGGCGGGAGTCCGGGCGCGACCCGGCCATGTCCACGAAACCTGAGCTCATTGAACTGAGGGAACTGGAACCCGCGCGGCGCGCGGGCCCCGGCCGCACCCGGCTGGAGCGTGCCAACGCGCTGCGCATCGCGCCGGGCACCGCGCGTAATCCGGCACGGCAGCTGGTCGCGGGCCGCGGCCACCACTTCCAGCCCGCGGGGCCTGCCACACACACGTGGTGCGACCTCTGCGGCGACTTCATCTTGGGCGTCGTGCGCAAGGGCCTGCAGTGCGCGCGTGAGTAGCAGCCCCGCGCGCTGGCAGGAGCGAAAAGGGCGGCCAATGGGCAGCGCCGTCGCTGCGTATCAAGTCGCAAAGGAGGGGGTCGGAAGGGTTGGTTCCGGCGAGCAAGGTCGGTTACCTTTGCCCGGTCGTGTAAGAGTGCAGGCAGGTAGATGGTTATATCCTTATCTTATTCCATCTGCATTAGGGGCACAGTTGGGCAGAGGCGGCTGCCTATGAATAGCGGTGCCGATCTCAAGCTTTTTATCTAATTTTTAAAAATGTTTTAATATATTTTTGAGAGAGAGCGCGAGCGGGGGAGGTGCAGAGAGAGGGAGGGACAGAGTTCCGAAGCAGGCTCTGCGCTAACACCAGAGACCCAGTCGCTGGGCTGGAACTCACAAACTGTGAGATCATGACCAGAGCCAAAGTCGGAAGCTCAACCGACTGAGCAACCCGGACACCCTCAAACTCTTTTTCTGTAAAGTGACTTGGTTCTTCTTGAGAAAGGGTTTGTGCTGACCATTCTCTAAGTCCATGTTCCTCGGCCTGCGCTTTCCCAAAGATTCACTCACTAGGCCCCCCTCGAAAATCTCTGGAATGAGGGGAATTTACCTACCTATGGGATGGGGACAGGGAAAAAGTACCGTGGGTGGGCCCTCTGCAAGCAGGAATTTTGAGCAATACCTATTGCAGCCCCAGTCAACCAGGTGCTAAAACATGAAACACAACCACACACCAGCGGTCCTTCTGCCCTCCCAGGAATCACCAGCAAGCAGAGGTTGCTGCCCCACTGGCTATACACCAGCTAGAATCGGTTGGGATTTTACAGGCCTCCAAGCCCCTGTGCCTGGACCTCAGACCTGTGGAATCCATCACGGGGAGTGTATCAGCAATTTAAAAACAAAACAAAACATCATTCCAGTTGGCAGCCTGGGTTGAGAATCACTGCTCTGGACCATTTAGGGACTTAGAGAAGGTGTCCCAAGCCTTTGTAGGCACGGAGACTCTCTCAGTTCAAGAGTCTGTCCTGAACACCAGAGTTGTGACAGAATACCAAGTGTGAGCAAGGGCTGAGATATTGCAATGTTCCCAAGGAGAAATGAAGTGGTCACAAAGATAAAATCCAGGACTATTTTGGGTGTGTGTCAGAAGCAAAGACAAGGGAGGGATCAAGGGTAAGTGGGATTTTTGTTTACCTCAAACTGGGAGAGTAGCAATTTTTGCTGAGTTGAGGAGCTCTGGCGAGGGGAGAGAGGGAAGTGGAAGAAGAGTTGTTTTGGCCATGTTGGGTTGACACCGGGTTTGATCTGAGGAGGGAGGTCAGCAGTGGGAGCCTTGGATCTGGGGTAGGTGAGTGTATACAGAGCAGGACAGTGATCAGTACTGAACTGAATCTCAGACACGCTGCCCATTAGATCTGGGAGTTGAGACAGAACCAAAGGAGCTGAGCAGGAGCTGCAGAAAAATGGGAGGAAAACCTGAGTAGTGGGAAGCCCAAGGGGATCAAGCATCAAATGATGCTGAGAAGGTGAGGATGGAGAAGGGACCTGGCATTCGACTGTGCACAGGTTGCTGAGGACCCTAACCAGGGCCGTTTCCTGGAGGGAGGGGCAAGCCTCACTGGAATGGATACAGGAGAGAGTGAAGGTGAGGAATTAGAGTGTATGCAGACTAATGTTAGTTTTGGTGTGAGGGGTGTAGAGACAGGTGACAGGGGAACAAGAGTTAAGAGATTTGGGGTTTTTTTCCCATCAAGTAAATGGGCGGAGGTAGGGTGTTGACAATGCGGAAGGGGGAAGTTCTACCCTAGGTGCTAGAGATAAAACTGTTTAACAGGCCTGGATCCGTAACCGCCTGAGGCCTTCTCACCAGTTTCCAGACACCCGGGGACCAATACTGGAATCTATATAGCAGCGGGGGACAAAGGGACCTAAGATAAGGCCGGTCATGTAGAGCCTGGCGGGCAACGGCTTTCATCCCGGGGTTTCTCTTCCGTCCCCCGGAAAGTTTCTCTGAACTGGAGCTGGGACTCCGCCGCCTCACAGCCAGACCTCTCTGCAGATTGCAAGTTCACCTGCCACTACCGTTGCCGCGCGCTCATCAGCCTGGACTGCTGCGGGCCCCGGGACCTGGGCTGGGAACCTGCGCTGGAGCGGGACACCAACGTGGTGAGCGCGGGGCTGGGGGGAAAGGCGGGGCTTCACGGGAAAGGCGTGAAGACCAGCGGGCCAAATTACAGGAGTTGCCTAGGACCGCTCAATGAATGGTCTAACAGCGGGTGTCCCCGCGGTAGAGAGTGCTAATTCTGCGCGCGGGCTCGAAGGGGTTCCGGGGAAGCTGACTCCGAGCGAACTGCCGGGAACCGCCCGGTCTCCGCGCCCACTCAATTTCCGCACCTTCGCGCATCCGCATCCGGTCTTGAGGCCACGCTGGTGCACATGCGCACAGGCGCCGACTTGTTTCCCAAGAGAGGTGGGGTCTGCGAGGCGGAGTTGAGCTGAGCTGCCTGGGCTATGAGGTCATTCCTGGAGGCGTGGCGTGTATGACCCCGCCCTTCGATGTTCCTCCCCCAATGAGGCAAGAGCCAGATCCTAGCCGTCTACGTTTCAGTGTTAACGGTCGCGGCGCGAACCCATATCCCGGCGCACGCGCACACGCACCTGGGGCGGTGGTTGGAGGCTACCAGCGCACTGGGTTCAGGGAGCTGGCTGGCGGGCGCGGCGATGGGCGAGGCGGATGCGGGGACGCCTTCTTTCGAGATGACCTGGAGCAGCACGACAAGCAGTGGCTACTGCAGCCAGGAGGACTCGGACTCGGAGCTTGAGCAGTACTTCACGGCGCGTACCTCGCTGGCACGCAGGCCGCGTCGGGACCAGGTGGGGGCCGGGGTTGCGGGCGGCGGGCTGGTGATGATCGCTGGGACCCTGCCCCTCCTCGCTAAATTGCCGGCTCGAGTTTTTGGGCGGGGATTCCAGAGCGCCCGGGGCCAGCCCTCGGAACTTTGTGCGGGGCTCTCAGCGCCTTGATGCCGGGTGCCGAGGCCCTGTCTCTGTCACAGACCGGTTGAACCAGGGGAAGCAGCTACATGGCTTGGGGCAGACTCGGGGCGGGCATTATCCACCTATGACTAAAGCCGACTGCGCAGTCCGGACTAGAACCTCGATTGCAGCGTTGGGACGCCCCTACCTCCTCTCTGGGAGATGGGGGCGGGGATGGGAGGAAGTGGAAGGGGAGGTGTCCTCGCCTGGAACTGGGAAGTGTGTTTAGGGAAGAGAGGCAAAGGAAGTTTCGGGCCTCTCCATTTGCAATCCTGGACGGAGCCAACTGAGTCCCCACCTCTTACCAGTCTGTCCTGTCACCAGCTGCTGGAACGCGGAGAATTCTGGAGTGGACCTGGCTGGAGTGCTCATTTCAGCAGCACATATACTAAAATTGGTGTGGATCTGGAAGAAAGGCATTTGGGAATGGATGGGAAAGAAGCCTAGTTCTGGACTGGACTATAAGCAAACGGGAGCATTTTATCCACACGAGGTGGGGCAGGCTAGATTGTAAAAGGCCCAGAGGAGGAGTTAAGAGAGATAGGGGTTATTAATCCAGGACTGTAAGATGTGCTGGAGCTGCTGTTCCTCTCCAGGCCTCCAAGGTGTTCCCGTTGTCAGAAACCTCTGTGCTGTGTGCCATAAGTGTGACTGCCAAACTCAGATAACTATTCTGGAGCGAGTACACCTCAGGGGAGCACCCTGGACAGAGTGTCAGGAAAGAGAGATGGGGACCGTAAAGCCCAGAATACCTAGCAACAATGGGGCAGAATTCCTTACATGAGCCACAAAAAGAGACTTGTGGGTGATTTTTTAGATGAAAATTGTATACTCTTTAGATTAAATTTTACTCAAAAGTTCAGCCCAGAGCTTGGGTGCAAGGTTTGAGTGTGGATCCTGTCTGTCACTCAGGCTTGAGGCATTTTTCATTGTGAAATAGTGAGAAAACCACAAGACACCAATTGAAAAGGAGGCTGGGGAGTCCCAAATTATATGTAAAATAAAAACCATCAGTCACTATGGAGGCAGAGTGGAGGATGGGTCACTGTAGTGCAGGAGATGGGAAATTCCATGGTCCTGTTGTGCACACCTCTGGGATGGCTGTTAGAATCCTCCAACGGGGGCCCCTGGGTGGCTCAGTTGGTTGAGCGTTGGGCTCTTGATTTCAGCTTAGGTTGTGATCATGATTCCAGGGTTGTGGGATCAAGCTCCACGTGGGGCTCCATGTTGAGCATGAAGCCTGTTTAAGATTCTCTCTCCTCTCCCTCTGCCCCTGTCCCCTACTCTCTCTCTCTCTCTCTCTCTCTCTCTCTCTCTCTCAAAAAAAAAAAAAAAAAAAAAAAAAAGAATCCTCCAGTGAGAAGCTTTGGAAGTGGAAAAAGAAACTTTTCTTCCTCTAGAATCCTGGTAGGACAGTGCAGTGCATCCAGTCCAGGTCTCTTGTTTTATGAGTAGAGATATTAAGGGAGGTTCACTTGGAGAGGAGAAGGGGCTAGAACATAGGTCACTGCACCCCATTCCAGGGCTCCTGGCTAAACCGGGAAGGGAAGAGGAAGGAGCAAGTGTTCTTACCCTCAGGCTGGAGCTCAGAACTGTCACAAGCAAGGGAAATAAGTTGGTGCCATCTCTGTGCCCCCCCAGAATTCTCTTCCTTCTTGCCCTGGTACTGGAGTCTGCTCAGCTTTCCTCCTGCCCTTCGCACCCTCCCATCCAGATACTCCTTTCTATTGGGTCACTCCTTCCTGTCCCAAGCCCTCTCTTCGGGCCTGAACAAACACATCCACCCTTTATTCCCAGGCTCTAGCCTTCATTTTGTCCCCCAGATCTCCTTTTCCCAAAGCCCACACCATTTGTTCTTTACCAGTCTTAGAGGGTTTCTCCTTGTCTCCAGTAAGATTTCTGCTACAGTTTTCCCTTCGTAGTGCTTTCCTCCATCCAGGAGATTTTTTGAAACTTGGGGGAGCAAATAGGCTTCAGTTCCCACCCCTCCCCCTATACCTTTTTCCTGTGAGACCCCAGCCTCAGTCCTCAGTGCCACATACTTACTGGTAGGTTTTAGGTAAAGAGCATAGTGCTATAAAACTGTTCTAGGTGAAGAGCACCCTACCCTCTCATCTGTCCACCCTATTTGTCCCCATCAGATGGTTTAAGCTTAGGGGCTCCAAGGCAGCAGTCAGGGAGAAGCCTGCCTCTCCTGAGCTTAGAGCTGGGTACAAGGTTATTCTACAGGAGACCAGCTGTAAAAACTCCCCTGGGAGAAAGCATTGGTCAGCAGTGATCTCAGCTGTGTCTGTGACACTTCCATTCCAACCAAGACCTGACGTCAACAGGAAGTAAGGCTGATGCAATGGAACCAGGGAGTTTGGTAGAAAAAAGTTAATTCAGAGCTCTGGCTGCCCTGGTCCATACTCCACCCTTCTGACAAGAATCCAGCCCCTGGAGGAGTGGGGGAAGGGCTGAGTGGTAGAGCTAAAAATCTCTGGGCTAAACTTCCAGATAGGAGGAAGGAGGTGCAGAAACCTACCTGCTTGGCACTTGTGGCTTTACCAGGAGGCAGATTGGAGCCTGGCCTGAAGCTGCCTTTTGTGCAGTTTGGGTCAAGATCAAATCACTGTGTTGGGTCAAGATCAAATCACACTGAGGTTTCCTCACTGTGTGTGAGACCTGCAGGGCTGGCCCCAAGTCCTCCATCAGGGGGTGTTGACATTGTAGAAGTTGCCCTTACCCTTGTACTCATAGCTGGCTGGGCTCCTGGTATGTGCCAGTCCCCATACCTCTTGCCCTGCGGTCATGGCCCTTTGCCAGGGCAAAGTGGTCTCCTTTCTCCAGGACCCCACCTAACTAGGGTGCTGGAATCAGGCTGTGCAGTTGAAAGGTGGTTTTACTGTCAACAAAAATCCCACATCTTTTCCTGGCCCCTGGCCTTTTATCTTCAGTTGTCTTGGTTTTAAGGTATCCTCAGGGCCTCACTCAGTGCTGAAGAGGCCCCATGTAGGCGGCATAAAGAAGCCACATGACTGCCTTTGCTGTGTCCATCCATAGCGTGCAAAACCAGGAGCAGTGATGGGTTCTTCTCGTCAGGACTCAAGCTTTGTAGTCAGTTTTCAAAGGCTGCCCCAGAGGCTGTTTTTCAAAGCAGCCAACCTGGATTCTCCTCCGTGTCTGTGACATGCATTGCAGTGGGATGGGTTCTTTTAGGGCCCTATGTCCACCCTGGCCCATCTTTCAGGACGAGCCTGTGGAGTGGGAGACACCTGACCTTTCTCAGGCTGAGACTGAGCAGAAGATCAAGGAGTACAATAGCCAGATCAACAGCAACCTCTTCATGAGCCTGGTGAGTTGATAGCCAGGGGAAGGTATGTGGGGAGAGGCAGGAACCCGACTATGTGCCTGATTCCCAAAAGGTCACAGCTAAGGTATCCTTGGCTGGGCTTAAGCAGTGATTTATTCTCACCCAGCCTAGCCCCAAGTGGACTGGTGGTGTCCATATCTGTTCCATCTCACCTGGAACCTAGCCATGGTTTGATTTCTCCTCTTCAGAACAAGGATGGCTCCTACACAGGCTTCATCAAGGTTCAACTGAAGCTGGTGCGCCCTGTCTCGGTGCCCTCCAGCAAGAAGCCACCCTCCTTGCAGGCTGCCCAGCGGGGCCCAGGACGGGGCACAGCTGTGAGGCGCCGCACCTCCTTCTACTTGCCCAAAGATGCCGTCAAGCACCTGCATGTGTTGTCACGCACACGGGCACGCGAGGTCATTGAGGCCCTACTGCGCAAGTTCTTAGTGGTGGATGACCCCCGCAAGTTTGCACTCTTTGAGCGGGCTGAACGCCATGGCCAAGGTGGGCTTCCCACTCCACCCTGCTGTATGAGAGTATATATTCTTGCATCATGTGTGAGGGTGTGAGTGGGCTGGGCCTGACTAATCAAATACTCTTTTCTCCCTGCCTGGCCCTCAGTGTACCTCCGGAAGCTATCAGATGATGAGCAACCCCTGCGGCTGCGGCTCCTTGCAGGACCCAGCGAGAAGGCCCTAAGCTTTGTCCTCAAAGAGAATGATTCTGGGGAGGTAAATGTGAGTACACAGCCCTCTTTAGTTTCTTGGTTGTCACTGGGTAGGGCTAGTAGGTTGCAGCAGCAACCTGGAAGGAGGAATAGAGCTGGAGAAAAAGCCCTACAAAGCCTCTCCAGGAGTATGTGAGCCTTGTAGCTAAACTGAAGACTTCCAGGCCACTCACAGGCCTCTCCCAAGAGGCCAGGAAGAATTGTCTTGGTGGTCTGCTCTTCTCTGTTGTGGAAAGTCCTCAGGAGATGGAGGAATCCATGGCAGTATGGTGATCCCAAGTGAGATCAAAGCCACACAGATGGGCCCAGGATGTCATGGAGGCTCCCTGTTCAGGCATTAGGACTTTTTACCTGGAAGCTTTCTGGCTCCAAAATATTGAGTCTGTGGAGTAGTATTAGAGTCAGAGTGTAGGAATGGGGGAACATCTAATTTGGTTGCCTGTCTTCGAGGTGTCTTTGACTGCCCTGCTTTGTGGGGCCCATCTTCTATACAGACTATTGTCAAGAACCCTAACACAGACCATTCAGGCAAGAACCTAACATTAGAAAGCCCCATCCTAGCTCTGTGATGTGATTGGTGCTCTTCTCTGGGGAGGGCCTGCTGATTTGGCCATGCCTGCTGCATCTTGTGTCCCCCTCTCCACCTGCAGTGGGATGCCTTTAGCATGCCTGAGCTACACAACTTCTTGCGCATCCTGCAGCGGGAGGAAGAGGAACACCTCCGCCAAATCCTACAAAAGTACTCCTATTGCCGTCAGAAGATCCAGGAGGCCCTGCACGCCTGCCCCCTGGGGTGACCTCTTGTACCCCTGGGTGAAAGGAGGAGAGTAGGCAGCGCCGAGGGCGTGCCGTGTGAGTGTGACAGGGCCCGTGTGGCCTGAAGAATGAGTGTGCATGGAGGCCCTCTCTTACTGGGGGAATGAGCCCAGAGAACAGCAAAGGAGCTGGCCCCCTGTGTCCACCCACAGGTATAGCAGAACATGGCTCTGCATTCTTCTGCCTTTTGTGTAGTGGGCCATGGTGGGCCAGGGTTGCCCTGGGAAGCTGCTCCAGGCTTGCAGCAGGGATAGAGCAGACAGAAGTCTCCTTAATTCGTGTCTCAGATACTAGAATCTTGGAGACCCTACAAACAGAATAGGTCATGTTTTCAGGGATGAGGGCCTTCATCTATGGGGAAAAGTCGTATGTTTTGGATGGGGTGTCAGGACAGCCCTATTGGAGCCAAGGGCAGGTGTTCGAGGTAAGACAGGCATCGAGAAAGAGCCTAAGTTTTCCTCTGCAGTGGCCTCTGTCTCCTCACACACACTGGGGTCAGGAAATGCTGGCTCATGGTGCAGCAACAGTGCCTCAGTGCCTCCTCCAAGGAGGATGTCCCTAGGCCAGGGTCTGTGTGAGTGTGGGCACTGGTCCAGGTCCGTGCCTTGTTTGCCAGTCAGAGCGAGGGTCCTTCCCTCAGTTATTTTTGATGATGTGTGCGAATGTATGTAATATTTTGTGGCCTCAGCTGCATGCCTCCTGTGGGGAAGGGGGTGGGGTAACAGTCATCATCAGGGCCTGGGGCCTGAGAGAAGTGGCTGAATAAAGATTGAAGAATTCTGCTTTTGAACTCTTTATTATGGGCCCTCAACTGCAGTTGCTCCTCACGCCAGTGGCTTCCAAGGGTGATGGACAGGCTCACAGAGCACCTTCTCAAAGTCACCATGTAACCAATTTGTGAAGGGTATGGGGTATGAATATTTACTGTCATCACTCACCACCCTGGGGCTCAGGTTGTGGTAGGGGCAACAATATAAGCTAGAATTTAGGGAATCCACATGCCTCCCAACACACACACACACACACACAGCTGCTGGGGGCGTTTTCACTAAGTATTTACTGAGCTACTGCTGTAGACCAAACACTGCTCACGGTACGGAAGGTCCAGCTGTTAATTCTTGCCTTCGTGGAGCATGCCTTCTAGTGGGTTTGGAAAGAACACTAAATTAGAAGTTCTTCAGACCTGAACGTAGCCATACATGTGGCCAATTATTTAATTTTCTTTAGGTATGGTTTCTTCTCCAAATGCGACAGTGGTGATAACAGAAATGGTGTGGGAATAAAATGAGACCAGATGGGCAATGCGCGGCCTGGCCTGGGACACTCCTAAAGCGCTGGTTGCGGGGAAGCCGGTGGTTGGGCAGGCCCGCTGGACCTGAACTCTGGGGTCGGGAACGTCGGGGCCGCCATACAAGCAAAAACCAGGAGGACCCAGCCACCACATTACTGGGTGGGAGCTGTCCCTGCTGGAGAGAGCGTGGCCTGCTGGGACCTGACGTCTCGCGGTGCCTACTGGGATGCCTAGCTTCCGAGAGCGGCTATTGGTCCCGCCCCGCGGACCGACGAGAGAAGCAGCCAATCAGAGAAGGCAGCGTGCGGAAGCGGAAGTGAGGTTTCCGTGGAGACAGCGGAGCCTGCGGAAGGCGGCGGCGGAAGCACCTGCGGGAGAAGGCTGAGGCAGGGTATGGTGCCTCCGACGGCCCTGTGAGAGCGAAGCGGCCGCGGGGCTCGCCATGCGCCGGCGGCCCTGACATGGGCGCCAGTGGCTCCAAAGCTCGGGGCCTGTGGCCCTTCGCCTCGGGGGCGGGGGGCGGCGGCCCGGAGTCAGCAGTCGCTGAGCAAGCTTTGGTGCGGCCGCGAGGCCGAGTCGTGCCCCCCTTCGTATTCACGCGCCGCGGGTAAGGGCGCGGGTTCCGCCCCGGGGAGACAGGCGGGCGGCGGGGCGCCCCGAGTCACAGGGAGCTCCAGCCGGAACCAGGAGAAGTCCCATGTTTTGGACCCCCGTGGGAGCAAGGGATGGGAAAAGCAGGGCAATCGGCTCCTGGCGACCTGGCTGCTCTGAAGGTCTCCCTAGGGGAAGAGGCTTGTCCGTGGGTAGGCCCTCTGTACTGTTAACTTGAGATAGGGTCTCCCTGAGACTTGAGGGTTTCTTTTCATCCCTTCCAGCCCAGCCTGCAAGTTGAAGGCTCCTAGGCTCCCTCTCCCCCAGTTCTGAGGGAAGACTAACCCTCTGATTTGGCTGTTTCCGTTACCTACCGTGATGGCATTGGACCTCTGAGGGTAGGTAGTAGCTAGGAAAGTAGGACTGGGTCCTAGTGTTAAGAATGGAGCCTGGGAAAAAGACCCTCACTCAGGTATGTTCTTCAGATCTAGAGCACTGACCTTCCCTCTCTTTTTCCATGGGTCCAAACAGGAGCGCTAGATTGGCCTGGCCCTGGTGGGTCCGGGGAAATGGTACTTAGGTGATGCTGGAGATTTGGCTGTAGATACTAGGGAGACCGAACAGTGGTAGTTTGGCTAGACCAGCCACTTGGGGGTGGGTGGGGAGGATTCAAACTTTTTCCCTTTAGGTTCCCACCTAGCTCAGGTATCTGCCATCTCAGGTTGACCCAGGGCCAGTAGTATCTTCTGGAGTGAGACACATGCCCAGGCCATCATGCTTCGCCCACCTTGGGTGAAAGCAAGGGCCTGATGTTGAAATGGCCACTTTTGCTGAACAAACCAGTGATGAGAACTGGCCTTAGCTGCCTTGACAATGTGCTCTGATATGATGTCTCTTCCTGAGGCCTGACAGAGTAGCACTGGCTACCACCCCATTCGCTTCTAGTAGACCCCGTACCCTTCAGGCATATTATCCTCTCTTCCTCCCATCAAGGTTGTTCCTCCCCATTTGGAGGCGGGCACGCTTCCTTGTAGTCTGGTCATTTGCCATGACTGGGTGTGGGGCTCCAGCCCAGCCTGTTCCCTCTCTCTCTCTACACAGCTCCATGTTCTATGATGAGGATGGGGATCTGGCTCACGAGTTCTACGAGGAGACAATCGTCACTAAGAATGGGCAGAAGCGGGCCAAGCTGAGGCGGGTCCATAAGAACCTGATTCCTCAGGTGAGAGGCTGGGGCAGTGGTCATTGAGCCTATGCTGAGTGTGTGGAGGTAGACCCAGATGGGGTCTGCTGTCATGGTGGGAGCTCTTGAGGGAGGAGCTGGCCCTCACTAGCCTCTGTTTCCGTGGCAGGGCATCGTGAAGCTGGATCCTCCCCGCATCCACGTGGATTTTCCTGTGATCCTCTATGAGGTGTGAGCCTGGGGAGTGGCAGGCATAAACACTCCCTACCCCAGCAAGAAACCCCCAGGCTCAAGGTGTGGCTTCCATTAAGGAACCTAAGCTGGGGCCACAACCCTGAATAAACTGCATTGGCCTGGAACCTTCAGCTGTGAGCGGGGCAGTCCTGCAGTGTTGGTCGGGTGTTGGTTTGTATGTGGACAAGAGGTGGCTGGCGGCTGGTGAGGGCTAATGGCAGAGTTACCAGCCCACCTTCCCCAGCAATCCCTACAAGGAGCATGGCAGGGCATATGCTGGTCAGGAATGCCTGGTTCTTGCACCCTTGCCTGGCCTGCTTTCTTCCAAGCTTGCCTAGGGCCCAGCCCTGCTAAGGGTTACAGCACTTTACAAGCAAGGTCTGCCTTCTTCCAGCCCCTGGGCTGCAGGAGCTGTACGCAAGCGGGAACTTCCCTTCCCTCATTTCCCTTACCCCCTTGTTGGAGCATTTCAGCCGTTTGCTACCTCGATTCCTCCTGTGTTGGACAGAGGCTGGGGGCAGTGCAAGCCTGATTCTTCCTGTCTACCTGCTCATCTGTTCCCACTCCCAGACGGATGGACAGTTTGCCAGCTGTTAATAGGAGATGGGACTGGTATAGGAGGATACTCCCTCCACCCAGGGCTGGGCTGATCCCTCCCCACTGCAACTACTTGTTGCCCCCACACACATCCCAGTTGAGAGGGCCTAAGATGGGATCAGGAAGGGCTATGGATGCCTGTGCCTATGGGGAGTTGTACCAACCCATCTACTTTGTCTAATCTTCCATGCCTTTGAACCAGCCCCACACAAACCCCTGCCATTGGGTGACCATCCGCCACCCATTGGTGAGGGACAGCACCCTAGGGCTGGTGCCAATAGCTATAAGGAGCCCATCACCCCTTTCCCTAAGTATACCCATCCCTCAGGATCAGTCAAGGGAAGGTATTGGAGCCCCTGGGTAAGGACAGAAAGGAGAGATCAACCATAAAGGAATACTTAAAATGTGAAAGTTTGTAAATAGTTTAGTCCATGATGTTGGGGCAGAGTCTGATTTCTACATCGAAATGATTTTTTTTTAATTCCTTACTGTGCAAGCTCTGTGGTTTTAAGAGTGTGGGAAATGGCTTGGGAAGGGTGGCCCCTAATCTAAGAAGAAGACTGTTGTGTTATTTGTTTAGTTTCAATAAAATTATTTGTAGACCCTGCATACGAGTGGTATCCGCTGTGACATCCAGTGTCTAGACCACCATCTGGGTTCTGTGGGTAGGCCTGGGCCACTCTGGTGACCCATCTTTATCATCAAGGCTCAAGGTAAGCCTGAGCCCAGCCCGTGGTCATCCCAGCTGTAACCAGCAGGTGGCAGTGTATTCACACAGACCTCACTGCAGACCCCCTCAGAATGGAGGGACATTTTCACCTATTATGTTTAATAGGTAGGGACCCCTGGAATTGGAAGGCTTTGGGGTGCTTCACTAGGGATTGGCCCTACCTGCTTGACCTGAGGTGAGAGCGTGACCCCAAGTAGTTCTAGAACAGCTGTCCTGCCCCCAGGAGTGTGAGCTGACCCCACATGAGGTCATAGCATGAGCCATCTTAGGTCCACCCATCCTAGGTGGACAGCAATCAGATGGGTGCCACCATGCCCTTGGCCTACCACCAGGCTCTGTAGCCCAAACCTACCTGCTTCCTCCCAGGACTAGTTGTGGATACCACCAGGAGAGTGGGCTTGGGGTTTCTGTTCCAGCACGCAGAACTCTGCCACCTAGTACTTTCTCTGTTCCCTGCTGACCCTGTGTTCTCACCTGCAGCTGCCCCCTGTGGACATTCGGCCCGCACTTCTCAGGCCGTGAGAAGTGGTTCTCCGCTAGGTTTAGCCCTTGGCCGTCAGCCCAACTTCCAGCTAGGGAGGAGGGAGATCAGGGACACAGGCTTCTGGGTCTGGGGAGTTGGCCTGCCAGTCTTTTGGAGGCTTAAACTTGTCTGGAGCAGGATCATCCTGTGCAGCCTGGACTTTGTAGTCCTTCTTTGGGCACCTTCCCACTTTCCTGATAAGACGTCAGACTTTGTCCCCCTTACTGCCCCCAGGGCCAGGGTTCTGCCATGCCAGATGGCATCCCATCACCCATCACCACTGTCCTAGTGTGGGGGAACTCCCTGTGTTGGGCCTTCCCCAGCTGACCCCAATGCTAGAAACAATGGGGGTCAGGGCAGTGCTTCCCCACTCCCTTCCACTGGGCTGTGCTCACTTCCTTCCTGCTGGCTGCCTGAGGAAGTGTCCCTGCCCTGGGACAGTCTGGTTTGGCCTTTGTTTCCCCAGGGGCCCCCACCATTGCAGCTTCCAAGGCTTGTGTCCCTTGTGGAGCCAGCACAATGGTACAGGGACACACCCTCCCCTGCCCTGTCATGGACTCCTTGGTCCTCCGGCAGACTCCAGGGTGTGTACCCAATTCCCCCAGTTGCCCAGGCTTACACAGCCTTCTGTTAGAAGAGAGGCCCGGGCACTGGAGAGGTGGGCCAGTAGGGTGAGTGGGGGTAGGCTCAGGGTGATTTGAGGGTATGCAAACTTGTCCACCTCTCTGAACCAGGTCTGCTGGGACCTTGCTGCAGCCCTCCCTGGGGCTACAGCCCTGTAATGAGTACCCCCTTTCCCATGGAAACACAGGTCTTTTCTCACTCCAGGTATAAGAGTTCCCTACTCTGCAGTGTCTCAGTGAAGTCCATCCAGGAATGCCCTCCATCAGGAGAGCACTCTGTAGACCCTTCCCAGTCCCTGTCCCTTCCCCCACCCTGCACAATCACACACATCAGCACATTGTCCACTCTGTCACACTTGGGATGCTTCTGCTCTTCAGCGGAAAAAAATTGACTCAGCTCCTGGAAGCTCCCCCAAGCCCCCTTATGACTGGTTCCCTTCTTCACCACCTGCTTTGGGGGACCATCAGCCAAGCATCTCCCAAATAGTTTGACTCCCCAAAGGACCTCCACTGGGGCCCCTCCATCCACAGGCTACTGGATTTGAGGATGGGCCTCAACCACAAGAGAAGGTTGGGGAGAAGAGTTTCAGGGTTAGGAAGCTGCCGGCAGGGCAGAGGCTGTCACCTGAGCCAGGTCCCACTGCCTTCCTGTCACCTAGTGCAGTTCACAGGGCCAGGGCATACTCGGGGGAGGAGGAAGGGGGGAAGGGGAGGAGGGCAGCCAGCCAGCGGGTCTTTGTCGTGGGAGGGAAACAGGGT